CGTGGAGGCTAGCTCTAGATGCAGTTTTGGGGCAGCCGAACACATGAAGGTTTAACTTACACGTTCACCCCTCACCCAACCCCACCCCCTCGGGAGCTACAAGGGTTGCCTCTTGGGGCCCAGATGCGCTCTTGGGAAGGCCATTCGTATTATTCTGGTTCACAGAAGTTCTTTTTGGGCCCACGTTGATGCCGACTGTACATCTGGATGTCGACGCACGCTGTATTGCAGGGCGGTAGGGTGTGAATTGGTGATACGGTGTAGCCCCCATCCCCGAAGAAATGAGCGAATGCGCGTGGAAGGGAGGTCCACCACACTTCCTCACGGGGGTCAACGTCAACTGGTCCGCAGAAGTGTCGGGCCAAGGTTATTGGAGAATGAGGGGAGGAGGAGTGGGTGGAGGGATGAGGGATGATGGAGGATGGGTTCGGATTGTCAATGGCTTGATGAGAAGGAGAAGGAGAAGAATGTCAAGTAGAAATGAGAGGGGCGATAAGGGCGATGAATGGGCGGATGAGGATGAGGACGAGGAAGAGAAGAGCGTAGAGGGCGCCAAGTGTTCAGAGCGTTTCTTGTTCCGCCTAATAAACTAAGCATAGGGGGTGGCGGTGGCACGCGAAGCGCCCGTCCTTACTGGGGGCCATCCTCGATGACGACGCTGCCCGCAACTGAACTCGTTGGCAACTCCCACCGCTGGCCACCGTGGATGCGGAAGTCGCGCGCGCGGATGGTGCCCTGCAAGTTGAGCCTCGCGTAGTGAGTATGCTTTGCAACCACGACGTGCGAGTCCGCGAGGAAGTGCTGGTCTGCGTAGTAGTCGTCATCTGTGATATTCCAGATGACAACGTTGCGGACTGCGTCATGCGTCGGCTCGTACCCGAGCTTACCCAGGAGCATCTGCTTCAGGAGCCGAATTGGAACTGACTGCTTACCAGGGATCGTATTGATGGTCTTGCTCAACGTGATTGAGTGGTGCTTCTTGTCATGAACGTCGGCCACGTAGACCTGCACGGTGATGCTGTCCTCGTCGTCGTCGTTGTCGAGGCTGTCGGAGCTGATGTTCAAGTGCGGGTACTTCTTCTGGTGGTCGACTTGGAGTTGGTATATCTCGGCTGTCGACTTGACCGTCACGTACAAGTAATCCTTGTAGACGCAGTAACGGCCACCGTAACAATCGCCCCTTGGTAGCGCATCGCCAGAGCGCTGGCCCTCCGCCTTGTAGATGTTGACGTTCATGCCGCTGTACTCGCTGATAGAGTCACCGAGTGCACGTTTGATCTCAATCACCTCGCAACCGTCCTCGAAATCAACGTTCGTGCCCTTCGTCACCCAGATGATGTGCCAGGTTCCACGGCTGGCGCCGTTCAGCGAGAGCTCGGCGCAGTATAAGGTAATCTGCCTCGCGCTGCGCATCTTGCCGTCGCTGATGATCGCCATCTCCATCGCCGTCGAAACCAGCTCGATGCTTTGAATCGAATGCGCCACTGGCTTGCCTCGCACGCCCTCGCTGCACGAGGAGGAGGAGAAATAGAAGATGGATATTGCGGAGGAGGATGACTAGGAGGATAATGGCGGATCAGAAGGAGAAGGAGACAGGAGGGAAGAGCTGAGAGTAGCCGAAGGGGATCTCTGCTGACGTCTCGCCCCTACACTCCCGCGTTGGCTCGAGGAGGAGGAGGAAAAGGAGGATAATAAGAAGGGGAAGAGGAAGAAGACGCGACGAGCCCCGTGGCTCAACGTCGATCGTATGCAGAGAAGGCGAAGAAGACAATAATAACCCCAAGATGCTTCAACGACGCGGCAACACACCCTCCCGTTTCAAGTCCCCCCCTCACAAGTCCCACACAACACAGCTCCACACTGCAGAAAAAAAACACCCTTGGAAAACGAACGTCCCATCACAGGCCTGCCAACCAGGCGAGTCCTGTGTTGAACGAATTGCAAGAGAGTGGGAGGAGAAAATCTATGTGTTAAGCCCGTGCCCGTCTTGAAAAAGAACCACCATCCACCCTTGTGGGTAGCAACTGCGCAAAGTCCAACTCGTGGTCTTCAAAGTCGCAGGAGTCGCAAGCGAGAGCCCCAGTTCGAAAAGACGCCGCCATCCATCCGTGCACATGTTGGAAACATAAGGCGAGGGCCGCATGTTTTCAATGTGGGTTCAATCCATCTTCATGCGTGTTGAAGTGTTTAAGACGCATGTGCGTGGCGCTGAAGGCGAGAGCCACATGTTGGAAGACACCTTCCCTCTACCTTGTATGTTTGGGAGGCGTCTTCAAGGCGCATGTGCGTGGCGCTGCGCTAGCAACCACATGTTGGTCACAGCCAGCCCACCATCCATGTAGCTGATGAAAGATCGGCATGGTCAGTAGCATTGAAGAAACCTCCTGCGAAACGCCTCGCCAGCCCTACCGACACATGTGGTGGTGCGACGGGAAGGAGTTATTGATCCGCCACTGCGTTTTTGGGGTGCCCGTGTTAATCCCCACGTGACTTTTTTCACGGGCCTCTGGATCGTGGCTGGCGGTGTGAGCCTTGAGCGTTCTCTGAGATGGTCTCGAAGCCGCGTGCTGGCGCTCTCTTGGAGCCTCGTGGGCCGTCTTGGAGGCCCTGGGGACAGGCCCACGACGGTTTTGCAGGACGTAGCACCCCACACTTGCGGATAAGAGTGAGGGGGTGGCAGCGCGGGCGAGCCGCCCCAAGTGTAGCCTCCAACTGCTCAGCCCCCCTGTGTAGCCCCCAAGTGAAGCCCCCATCTGTAACCCCCAAGCGTAGCCCCCCAAGTGTAGCCCCCCAAGTGTAGCCCCCGAGTGCGGGGGTCCCACGCGTAGCCCCCCAATGTGTTGCCCACAACGTGCAGTACCCAAATCTAGCCCCCGAGTGCGGCCCCCAAGTGTGGCCCCCAATTGCAGCCCCCGTGTGCTACCCCCATGTACAGGCCCCACGCGTGGTCCTTGGGTGCAGCCTCCAAGAGCCAGGCCCTCCATCCAGCCACGCGCGCGCAAGGAGAAAGTAAGACCGCTCGAGGCCCCTCACTCTGATCTTCCTGCGCTCGGATTTTTCGATCTGCGACGGCGCGCGCTTCAAGTTCGCTTGCCTTGCAGAAGAGGGTCTCGCACACCTCCCCCCCTCGAAAAAAAATCAAAAGGCTCTCCTGCGAAACTCTCTTCCCTCCCACCCACTACCCCCTCCCCTCGCAAGGGGGGGGGTATAACCAAGTGTGGGTCCAATCCTTGCCGACCGGTAGCTCCGTCACTTCGCCTCCTCCTCACCAGCAGGTCCTGTCGATAGCGTCCTCCGTCACTCCGCCTCGTCCGTCACCAGCGGGCCACCGCCTCGTCTCTCACCCGATACCTCCCACCTCGTCTCCCACCTCTGGCCCCAGCCAAGCGACTGGAGTGAAAAGGCGGAACTTGCCGACCGCCAAGTCCGTCCGGCACCACATCGCGGGGCCCCGCCCGCCACACGCCAACGCCTCCGCCACCTTCTTTTTCCGTTCTGCAGACGTTGGTCGAAGCGATCGCCGCCGCGCCTGAGCGCTCGTGCTGAAAAAAAAGGCCGCATACGCGTCACCAGAACAGCATAACACCTCGCGTTCTCAACAGAAACTAGAAGGGCAAAGCAAGGCGGGAAAGTGGAGAAGCCCGCAAGGGCATAGAGGGACGCACAACGACAAAGGCGTCCCAACACTCCCCCCCACGACACCCCCTCATCCTCATCCTTACCCTCATCATCCCTGTGCTCGTGCTCCTGAACCTCTGCCGCGACTCCTCTCCCGCGAGGGGGGGGGCAAAAAGTTACCGGCATACCGCAAAAGAAGGGGCCCGACCACGAGAAACCTCCCACGAGAAGCCCAACACCGAGACCCCAGGACGCCCCTTTGGTTTCCGGCGCGCGAGCGCCACGGCTCCCATGGCAAGGCCGTCGAACCCCGAGAGACCCCGGGCACCCTGGAGGCAAGCAGGGCGCCCGTCAGAAGCGCCTAGACGCCTCAATCGTGACGAACCCCAAACCTCCAAGCGAGGCCAAGCAGGGCGCCTCCTGGCACGGGCCCCCGCTGGAGTCTCCAGACCGGGACCTCGAGGCGCTGCCGGCCGTGGCGGCGAAGGCCTCCCTGCATCGACGGCGAGCCAGGGAGGGGGGGGGGGAGCGAGGCGGGGCGCGCCTGCCCAGCAGGCTCCGAAGTCCCCCCCGCCCTCTGAGAAGTGCCCCGGGCCTTCCCCGAAGGCACGGGGCAGCCTCCCAGAAGGCGCCAGGGCTTCCGAGAAGTCCCGCCGCCTTCTGCGAGGGCATTCTCCTTCTCATTCTCCCCCCCCCTCGCTCGCCGAGGGCCCGCTAACGTTACCTCAACTCGCCCCCGCCTGCCCTGAATCTTCGGTGGCGACTCGCGGGAGCCTCCCATTCCATCTTGTCGGCTATTGCGAATCGACGCCGATCGACGCTGAATCGACGCTGATCGACGCTAAATCGACGCCAATCGGCGCAAGCCGACGCTAAACCGGCGCTATCTCATCGACTCCCAGACGCTAAATCGGCGCTGATCGACGCTGAAAACGGAATTTTGCGAGGGTGTGCAAGGCCCCCACGGTTTGCCACCGAATGAATCTGGATCCGCCGCACTCTGGGCGATTTCGCTGGTAGGGCGGACATTTCCAGCCCACTGTTCAAGCTCCTTTGACGTCGATCTCCGTCCAATTTTGCCGGCGCTGCTTCCGCCGTGCTCCTCTGCGGGGAGGTCCGCCCCACTTCTCTGAGGCGGACATTTCCGCCCTACGCTTTCGCATCCTTTGGGGCGCACGTCCGGCACAAACGTGCATCGGAGAATCATTCAAAGTAAAGCGGACCTGGAGTGACTCCTCCTCCTCCTCCTCCTCCTCCTCCTCCTCCTCCTCCTCCTCCTCCTCTTCGAGACGAAGCCGAGCCGAGCCGCGAAGCGCGAATCGCGAACTTAGCGTCGCGACCCCGAAGGCGCCATGGGAGCTCCCCCCCCTCCCAGCGGCTGCCTCCCGCACAGTCACCGGCTCGTCGGCCGCCGCCATCGACCTCGGGGACTCACTGACCGGGTCAGCGCAAGCCCGGGCCAGTCAGGCTTTGCTAGATGATCCTGCAGGATTCTGCGCCCAAGCCCGGGCCACTGCGACCCTGGCCCTGCAGGGTCCTGCGAGACCCGCCGCTCTGACTGACCACCGTTTGCTTTGACTCCCGTCTCTTAGGAGGAGGAGGAGGAGGAGGAGGAGGAGGAGAAGGAGGAGGAGGAGGAGGAGGGGGAGGAGGAGGAGGAGGAGGAGGAGGAGGAGGAGGAGGAGGAGGAGGACGAGGGAGAAGGAGGAGGGAGGAGGAGGAGGACGAGGAGGAGGAGGAGGAGGAGGATGAGGATGAGGATGAGAGGAGGGGGGAGGAGGAGGAGGAGGAGGAGGAGGAGGAGGAGGAGGAGGAGGAGGAGGGGAGGGAGGGAGGAGGAGGAGGAGGAGGAGGAGGAGGAGGAGGAGGAGGAGGAGGGGAAGGAGGAGGAGGAGACAGAGGAGGAGGAGGATGAGGAGACCCCCGTCTCTTGAGACCCGGCGACCCCAGTGCCGTGAAGGCCCGGCCCTCGTGGGCGGGCAGGAGAGGATCGCTCGGCCTGCCGCGGCCGAACGGGAACAGCGCGGCCTGGTCGGCGTCGAAGCCGGAGCCTGTGTAGAGGCCTCCGCCTCCGCCTCCTCCTCCTCCTCCTCCCTCTCCTCCTCCTCCTCCTCCTCCTCCTCCTCCTCCTCCTCCTCCTCCTCCTCCTCCTCCTCCTCCTCCTCCTCCTCCTCCTCCTCCTCCCGTCTCCTCCTCCTCTTCTTGCTCTTCCTCTTTCTCTCCTCCCCCTCCCCCTCCTCCTCCTCCCTCCCCCTCCTCCTCCTCCTCCTCCTCCCTCCTCCTCCTCCTCCTCCTCCTCCTCCTCCTCCACCGTCCGAGTAGATGGGTCGGAGGATCGCGCCGCATCGGTGATGCATCGGCGATGCATCGCCGATGCACCGGCGAGGTCGGCGATGCATCGGCGCCATCGGCGTCGAGAAGCTCGGGCTCCGCATCGAGCCGCATCGGCGATGCATCGGCGATGCTGCGCGGCCCTCCGACCCCATCTACTCGACAGCGACTTCTTTTCCGCCGCAGCGCGGCAGAGGCGATCCGCCCGCGCGCTCTGGTATCGGCGGCGGGCGAGGGGGGGGGGAGAAGGAGAAGGCCCTCTCAGAAGGCGGCGGGACTTCTCAGAAGCCCTCGCGCCTTCTAATGACTACCTACCAAACCACCCCAACCCAACCCGAAGGCCCGAATTTCGGGTTGGGGAGGGTAAGGGTTCCATACGTGTTTTTTCGATGTTCCGCGACCCCCCCCCCACTGGAAATGGAGGGCAAATCTGAGCCTTCGGGTTGGGTTGGGGTGGTTTGGTGGGTGGTGATCTAAAAGGTCCCCCCCTGTGTCTTCGGGGAAGGCCCGGAGAAAACTTCTCCACAGGCCGGGGGACTTCCGAGCCTTCTGAGGGAGGCCCGCTCCTGCTCACTTCCCCTCCGGGCTCGCTGCCGATGGTGTTAGGTCGGGCCTGTCCCCCTACAGGGGGGTTTTCGAGGACAAAATGAAGAAGCTTCCAAAAATATTCCAAAAATGATCAAACATGGTAAAGAATGGTCCCCAGACTGTTTTTTTTTTTTTTAAAAAAAAAAACAAAAAAACAATTCTTGACTATTCCCCCTGTAGAGGGACAGGCCCGACTCAACGACAGTGGGCCGGGAGCGGGCGAGCCAAGCGGCGACGGTAAGGAGGGGAGAAGTGGGCGGAGAGGGAGGCCGCGGGAGGCGGGTGGCGGCGGGAGGGCGCTCCCTCGGCGGTGGACAAGCCCCCCTTTCGCAAGCCACCCTTTCTTTGGACGCCCGAAATGGGTACGGAAAAATGGGCACAATGCCCAACGACAACTGTTGTCCCAAACCAACAGCGGCCGCTGTTGGGCAGGCGGCCTTCTGTCTCAGATGGACACAGGCCGCGGCGGCGCGGACAGCGAGTCCTGTTCAAAATGAACAGGAACTGCTGTTGGGCATTGTGCCCATTCCTTCCGTACCCATTTCGTTCGTGCCGACCTTTTGGTGATAGCAAGAGTGGCGGCCGCGACGCCCCCCTAGCGAAGCGAAAGCGGCCGATTCGCGGGTCGACGCGTCCGAGCGGGAGGTCTGCCAGCCTGCGACTCGCCGTGGCTGCCGGTGGGCAGCCACGCGCGGGCGGCGAAAGCAGAGGGGTGCCACGGCGAGAAGGCGCGGCGGCCCTCCGCCGCGGCGTGCGCGGGCCGCCGGCGTGGCACGCCGCGCGGGGCAGAGGGCGCTGGCGCGCGGCCTTGCGCGGGGAGCTCACGCGCGGATGTCCGCGGCAACTTCTTGCCGTCGCTCGGACGTCAGTTTCCCTTGCCTTTGTAGGCTTCGTGCGCGTTTTTTTTGCTCGATGGTCCAGGATGGTTCTCTCGATGGTTCTCGCCGAGAGCGAATGCACACGTCCGAGCGATGCCAAAACCCCGGATCTCCAACGATCTGTTTTGTGAGCGTTTGTTTTAGTCGGCGTTCGACCTTGGGCAGAAAGGGGAGGCGAGGGGGGGGTCTGGCTCCGGACCTCTGCTCAGCGCGGCTGTTTGCAACAGGGCATCGATGATGGGGGAGGCTCCACCTACTCGAAACAGGCACCCAAAACAGCCAAGATCAACTCCATGGGGGGGGGGGAGTAGGGGAACACAAAGTGACATAAACATAAAAACTCGGAGGTCCGCGCGGATTTCTCGGATCGGCGCTGGGGCCCCCCGGCGGCGCCTCCCGCGCCGCCCCTGGCGCGCTCCGCGCGCCAGGGAGGGGGGTCCAGAGCCGATCCTAGAAATCCGCGCGGACCTCCGAGCTTTTATGTTTATGCCACTTTTTGTTCCCCTAGGGAGGGGCGGGTGATGGGGCCCGCGCCGATCGGCAAAACAACGCCTGAAAAACGGCCACTTTTTTCAATCCGGGCGCTCTGCCTCGCTCTCGGCCTTCAGGGGCCGTCCTCGGGCCCCGGAGCCCTACAAAGTCGAGCTGGGGCGCGGAGCTGCGCCCAGGGAAGGGGCCGGCAGCTCCGGGACCGCGGATTGACAACAGCACATCGTCTGATGTCAGGGGCCACAGGGGAGCCCTGCCCACAGAGGACAGATGTCTGCAAGACCGGCCGGGGCTCAGATTCGAAGGCAAGGATGTGTGCAGCCACGCGAACCCCAACAGAGGTGTCCGATGCCCTATAGTATCCACACCCTCGCGGCCTGACTTTCAGGCGAAATGCCATGGATACGCGGTCGCATGTTTACGCTCCGCGATGGGCCTCCGCGAACAAAACACCCCGTATCCGTGGGGTCGCGACCCGTGGGCCCGGCCCGCGAGGCCGTGGATACGGCACTGTGTTCCGCCCACGAGCCTGGCAAGAGGTACAGAGTCGCGAACTCCAGCAGCACGCTCTCGCCGCCGCCGAAGCTCACGGCCCCCTGCGCGGCCGGCTGGTGCCCCCCGCCCCGCAGGTGCTGGTAGATCGCGTTGCCCTTCGCGGCGTTCTCGAAGCTGCAGGTCTCGAAGCCCTGCTGCTCGGGCCGACTCTCCACGGCCTCGATGGCCTGGCACAGCTCGCGCCCGGGCGCGCTGCCCCTCAGCCCGCGGAGCCACTCGGGCCCCTCGGGCTCGCCCGGCGGCAGCAGCCGCAGGGCGCCCCTGAAGTCGAACCTCTGCCCCTGCAGCTGCTCCCAGGAGCCCGCCCCGAACAGCCTCGGCAGGACGCGAGCGAAGGCACGCGCACGAACTCTCGCAGGCCCGCGCGGAGCTCCTGGATCGGCCCCCCTGGCGCGCTCCGCGCGCCAGCGAGGGGGGCCCAGCCCCGACCCGAGGCATCCGCGCGCGGGCCTCCGAGAGTGTGCGCTCATACCGCTCGTTCTTCCTCGAAGCCTGTCCACCCCCTCGGAGATGGAGGCCTCGGGCAGCCACGAGACGACCACCTGGAGCCCCTGGTCGGCCCATTCGCGGGCCTTCTTCAGGTGCTTGTCTCGCTCCTCACGGCGCAGAACTTTTGGGGGGGGGCCTGCCCCGCAGGGGACGCAGAGCTGGACTCGGCGAGGCATCCCTGATGGATCGGCGATAGGCCCCCGACAGGGGGACCTGCACGCTCCGGGGCTCGCCGGGCTATCTGGCCCCCATCGGCGATCAGTGGGCGATTGGGGGTCCTGCCCCCCCCCCCAACGTTGCCCCGGATCCTCAGGGGTGGGCGAGCTCCCCTTGACGTTCTTCACCCAGACCAGCCCCGGCACCGCCAGTCCGGCGCCCGCTTGCCTGTCCGCGTAGGCCTTGACGTAGCGCTGGAAGCCGTCCTTGGGGAGACCAAAAGCGTAACCGCACAGATGCGGACTCCTGCGGGTAACCCTAGAGCCCTGCGGCTCCGATCGGCGCTGGGCTTTCGAGTCGAACCGCCGCTGGGGTCCGCCTGGCTGCAGACATCCTTCGGATTCGGCACCCTGGCCCCAGCCATCCGGAGGAGGGAGGAGGGAGGAGGGAGGAGGGAGAGGGAGGAGGGAGGAGGGAGGAGGGAGGAGGGAGGAGGGAGGAGGAGGGGAGGAGGGAGGGAGGGAGGAGGGAGGAGGAGGAGGGAGGAGGAGGAGGAGGAGGAGGAGGAGGAGGAGGAGGAGGAGGAGGAGGAGGAGGAGGAGGAGGAGGAGGAGGAGGAGAAGGAGGAGGAGGAGGAGGAGGAGGAGGGAGGAGGAGGAGGAGGAGGAGGGAGGAGGAGGAGGAGGAGGGAGGAGGAGGAGGAGGGAGGAGGAGGAGGAGGAGGAGGAGGGGCCACTGTGAGGCTGCGGGCTGCCCGCAGACGGCCCCGCCAGGCGCCGAGCACGGCCCCGGGGCGCGGAGCGCCGGGGGGCGCCGCCGGGGGCCAGGACGCCTCGAGGGCGCCACGGGGTGCCGCGGCCGCCCCGGGGCTGCTCGGGGGCGGGCTGTATACGAGGCCGGCCGGGGGCCACCCGGCGGAGCCGAAGCACGAGCGCGCTGCAGGGACCTCTCCCAGGGCGCGTGCCCACCAGCATCTCAAAGGGAACCCGGCCGGGGCGACGAGGCCCAAGAAAACGAGCACGAGGCAAGGGGTAATCCACAAGCCTCGATTCGGTGACAACGTTGCCCCTCTGTGACCAGAAGGGACACTTGAACGGAGAGGCGGAGGCCCTCTGCGACAGAAGGGGCCCCCTTCCCGTTCCTCCTCACCCTCCTTCTCCTACGCTTCCTCCTTCTCCTGCGCTTCCTCCTTCTCCTACTTCTCCTACGTTTCCTCGTCTCCTCTCCTTCTCCTAGTTCTCTTACTTCTCTTGCTGATCCTTCCTCCTTCTCCTACGCTTCCTCCTTCTCCTACTTTTCTATGCTCCTTATATCTTCCTCGCCTCCCTCCTTCTCCCACGCTTCGCTTCCTCCTTCTCTGGGTCCTTCCAAGGGTCGCCGTCGACCACCAGGTAGTCGGGGCGGAACCGCGAGATGGCAGCAAAAGCGGCTTCGTCCTGCCGCTCCTGCACGTCCCTCTGCCCCTCTGGGGGGGCCCCGAGGCCTGCGCCGAAGCCCTTGACGTGGAGCACGCGCTTCCCGGAGAGAAGCTTCCACACCTTTGGCGGCGCGCACAAGAGGGTAGTAGGGGGAGGGGGGAAGGCTTCGTAGAAGAAGGCTGCTTCTTAGAAGGCGCCGGCCCTACATCTGTAAACGAGGCCCGCGCCTTCCAGGAAGCAAGGGTGTTTCTAAGAAGCCTTCCCACCTCCCCCATACCTCCCTTTTGCGCGTGGCCGACACCTCCTCCGGAGTCTCCGCGACGGAGGGCTCCTCAAGGGAGGGCGCGGTGTGGGGGGGGACCTGCGATTAGGTCGGGCATGTCCCCCCTACAGGCGGATTTTGAACGAACAGAAGAAATACTCCCAAAATGCTCCCCAAACATTCGAGAATTGTCAAAAAATCGTCTTCTGCTTATTTTCTGACTATTTTTGAATACCCCTCCTGTGGAGTGACGTGCCCGACTTAAACCGGGCGTTGCGTTCACGCCCAGTCTCGGGCACCGCGGCCCTTCCAGATCGACCTGGCTTGAAAAGTGCGTCAGAAAGCTGGGGCCTAACTATAGTGGGGGCCCGACCACAGGAAACCTTCCACAGGAAACCCAACCCTGAGACCCCAGGACGCCCATCGACTTTTTGGCGCGGGAACGTCACGCTCTCCATGGCAGAACCGTCGACACCCAAGAGACCCAGGGCACCATGGAGGCAAGCGCAGGGTGCTTCTTGGCATGGGCCCCCACTGTAGGGCCCCCGCCGTGCTGTTTTTATTCACCGTGCTCTGGATGTTTCTCGCGGCGCCTGGTCATGGGAGAAGGAGGGGAGGGGAGCGGAGCGGAGAGGAGGGATGCATCCGGCCCGTAACACAAGGATGCGCGGTAGGGATGCAAGGGCCCGGGAAGGCCACCTCGACACTCTACGGGCGGGGCGCGGCCAGCGCAGGAGGCCAAGGATGGGCCGAGCGGGGGGAAGGATGCAAAAGGGTGACCCTGGAAAGGTTGCCCACCCTTGCTGTGCGGGCCGACTGTAGCCAGGTGGCCCAGCGTCGCGCATCGCGCCCCGCGGTTCGCGGCGGCGCGACGGCCCTCGCCCCCCTCGCACGGCCCCCGCCCTGGAGAAGTGCCACCGCTCTGGCCACGGCCGCGGCGCGCGAGGCGCGCATCACAGTCGGCCCGTGTCGTGAGGATGCGCGAGAGGGATGCAAGGACCTTGGAAGGCCATGTCGACACTTCGCGGGCGGGGCGCGGCCCTGCGGAGGAGGCCAAGGATGGCCGAGGAGGCAAGGATGCCAGGGCACCCGTGGGAAGGCTGCCCATCCTTGCTGTGCGGGCTGACTGTATCTTCGCGCCCCCGCGGGTGGTCTGGTTGCAAGAGGAAGGACAGTCAATGCAGACAGAAACTTTAGAAAGGTCCGAGCGTCTCTCGGGTCGTCCTTGGGTCCCCCTCGCCCTGGCCGCGTGCGCGCAGCCTGGCCCGCGCGATCCGCTCGGCGCAGCTTGGACCTCGCGGATGAGCTTGCCAGCGAGGTGGCCGCGCTCAAGAAACGCGGCATCGAGGAAGGCTTCTCGCACGTAAAACCGGCAAAGTGGTTGCCGCAGCACCTCGCAGGGACGCTGCGAGAGGCCGACGAGGACGAGGCACAACTCCCGGGGGGTCAAGCGTCAAGCGCCGACCCGAGAGATCCGCGCGGACCTCCAGGGCGCGGACCTCCAGGGGTCGACGTATGTTTGTGAACTCCTCTCTCGAGGGAAACACCGGCGGCGCGCCCAGGGAGGAAACCAGAGGGCTTTCTTGGAGGGCTCAGAAGGCCTCCAGGCTTCTGAGAAGCTTCCTGAGCCTCCTCCGAAGCCACAGCGGGTTTCTCAGGAGGCCTCGGGGGGGGTCTGAGACGCCCCGTCGGTACCTGAGAAGGCATGCCCATCCCAACCACCATCGAACACTTGTCCTTACCCTGTGGCGGTGGCAGCCCTGGCGACACACTATGCCTTGCGAGTGGATAGCGTGTCACTCTTCTCCGCGTTGCGGGAGGATGGGGAAACACTGGGGACGCTGATGCCTGGGGTCTGGGAGACTGGCGGAGCGACACGCCAAGCCGAAGTTCCTGACCGTACCCCCTCGGCGCGCCGCCGAAACTTGGTTCTCGGGTCATAACTCGGGTCTCTGGCGGCCGTTCGGGACAATCGAGGCACCCCCGGGACGCTCTCGGCGAGGCGCAGCTGCCGAAGCTGCAAAACTTTCGGGGGGCGACGCAAACCTGAGAAAAGCTTCCGAAACGCACTCGTCGGGAAATCAAAAGGCACCGATACCGCTAGTTACTCCCTGGACCTCTCCCGGGGTGCGTTCTGACCAGAATGTCGAGGCGAACCCAGCGGTGACGACGAGGGCCTCCCAGGAGGCCCCCAAAAAAGCGAAAACGGGCGAAGGGTAGAGGTACGGGTACCTTTTCCTCCTCTGATCTCGGCGCGCCGCCGGAAACAAGCGCTGTGAAGCAGCGCGCGGCGAGAGCGAGAGGAGGAGGAGGAGGAGGAGGAGGAGGAGGAGGAGGAGGAGGAGGAGGAGGAGGAGGAGGAGGAGGAGGGGGAAGGAGAGGAGGAAGGAGGAGGAGGAGGAGGGAGGAGGAGGAGGAAGGAGGAGGAGGAATGAGGATGAGGAGGAGGAGGAGGAGGAGGAGGAGGAGGAGGAAGGAGGAGGAGCCCCGCCGCTCGCCTGGCAGACCGAACGAAAAGCAGGGCCCGTCCTCCGACGCACTGCCGCAGCCGGCCCCCGCCATCGGCGCCTCGGTCCGGCGGTGCGGGCTGTCGCTCCTCCTCCTCCTCCTCCTCCTCCTCCTTCCGCCTCCTCCTTCCTCCTCCCTCCTTCCTCCTCTCCTCCTCCTTCCTCCTCCTCCTCCTCCGCCTCCTTCTCCTCCTCCTCCTCCTTCCTCCTCCTTCCCCTCCTCCTGATCGGCACCAGGTGGGGCCCTGAGGCACGGGGCGAGGATCCCCTGGGCCCACGCAGGGGAACAAACAACGGCATAAACATAGTCCTTCGGAGGTCGGTGCAGAGTTGTTGGGCCGACATGAAAGCCGATCCCGACCACATCGGGCCGTTCACGAACCACTTGGTGCTGACTGCAACCAGTTGGGTGGGACTGATCCCTACGTGTGGGAGTCATTGAATAATCAAAACGAAAACCGGATTACCTCCAAAGAAGCTTATTTAAGGTTTTCAGTGTTACAAATATTCTGAAAGGATTTCTGCCGATTCCCGACCGATGCCTGCGGAGTCCACAAGATCCCTGAATCTTCTGGAAGGATTCCTGAAAGATTCCTGGCGATTCCTGGTGATTCCCAGTGATTCCTCACGTTTCATGATGGATTCCTGGTGTTTCCTGGCGATTCCTGAAGATCCCTGAAGGATTTCTGCAGGATTTCTGAAGGGCTCACAGAAAGGATTCCTGAGGGGTTGCCGAAGGATTCCTGACGGATTCTGGACGGTTTCCCAACAGACTCCTAGGGCAGCACTGGGGACCCCTAACAGATTCCTGAAGGATTTTTAAGGATCACTGAAGGATTCCTTTGGATTCCTGAAGATCCCCAACGTCTTTTTGAGAGTTCCGCAGGACTCCTGAAGGGATCCCGAAGGACTCCGAAGGAAAACCTCAGGAATCCAGGAGCTTCCTGAAGAAGCCCCCGAATTTCTCAAAATTCCTCCGGATTCCCCAGGGAGTCCTGAAGGATTCCTGCGGGATTGCATGGCAGTCGTAAAAATATTCGTCGCTGCACTTCTGGCAATCGCAGTGGCGCTCACATTGGTGACCCCCCTTCTCTCATTCCTCGTCCCCCGAAGGCTCGATGATCCTCAGAACGTATGTTAGCCCCAACGTGTGTTTGTTCATCGAAGCCTTTCGATACGACGCAGGCGATGTAATGATCTACTGGTTGGGCGGAGAGGGGGTAAACACATATTGGGCTAACACACGTCCTAAGGATTATCGAAAGGCATACCCGAGCCTGGTGGCCCCGCAGTGGTCGGTGGGTAGCCGCAGCGTGCGGCCAAGATCCGATGCACTTTTTATGTCGCACCGCGGCAGAGGCAATCCGCACGCACGTCCGACCGAAACTGGGGCACGGAGTCGCGAATAAGCCCGCATGCGTGAGGGGGAGGGAAGGGGAGGAGGCGGCCGCAAAGGGAGGGGGGGAGGCGCGGGGGCGCACTCACGCAGCGAGGCTGCGGCGGGTGCGTGGGCGCGGCCTGGCTGAGGGGACAACCCTGGCAGCGGCTGCGGGTCGGCGTCACAGTGCACCCAAAAAATGGGGGCCAGCAGCCACAGTGCAAGCAAGGCCCGGCAAGTCGAAGAGCGGGAGTGGCCGGCGGCTGGAGGACCAGGGCGCCGGCGGAGGGAGGAGGCAGCGGCGCGGAGCCAGCAGCGGCAAGGCGAGGTGCGCCAGCGCTGCAGCAGCTGCGAGGAGCCCAAGGCGGCGGATGGCGGGGCGGCCCCGGTGCAGGGGCGGACCGACTGGGCAACCCGTCGTAAGGCGCAGGAAGGAAGCAGGATCCGACACACATGCGGCTCATCGGCTTAAACATCGACTTTGAATGGCACGAGGACGATTCGCCTGTAGGCGGCAAACGCAGGGTGCTGCTCGAACCCAAGATGCGCGGCGGTTAGACCAGCAGGAGGCGGGGGAGACAGGGGAAAGCAGATTGAGGCACGGAGGAGCTACGAGGCGGAGCTCATGGGAGCGGAAAAAAAGGAGGGGGAGGAGTAGGAGGAGGAGGAGGAGGAGGAGGAGGAGGAGGAGGAGGAGGAGGAGGAGGAGGAGGAGGAGGAGGAGGAGGAGGGAGGAGGAGGAGGAGGAGGAGGAGGACGACGACGACGACGATGGGGGCCGACATGACTTCACTCGCGGCATTCGCGCCGCAAGGGTCCCAGCGTGGAGCGCAGGGACCCTGAGCTGTCGCCAGCGACGTGGGGCACAGATGCGCGCATGCCTCGGGCCCGCTGGTAACTTGCGTGACAGGGAGGGTCTTGGGTTATCACAAGTATTCTGGGATACTCCCTAAACACAGCTTGTACTTTGAGTATCTTACTTCTGCTCTGAGGAACTGGGCTGCCGTTCGATTCAGTAACCCCTCCACTGTGTAGGCGCTACGTGTAACCCCGTCACCCCATCCAGAGACGATGCCCATGGGAGTTGCCCTCTCGCTGGTACCGCTGAGGAGGCGTTCGGCCCCCTCCCCCATCACGCCGGGCAGGGGGGTTCTCGGGCTTCCAAGGGCGACGCGTCCCATGGAGGCGTCATGTCATCCTTGGATGAAGCCTGGAGGACCCCTCCTTCCCTCTGGGCGGGGGAGGAGACTGAGCGACTCCTCGCATCTCGCGCTGCTGCCACCGCTAAGACGCTCGGTATCCTTCCCATTCCCCCTGGGCACTGCGGCTCTCCAGGCCCCCCATAATCCGCCGATCTGGCGTGTGAGTTTAAGGGGGACGGGGTGACTGGGGTGGCTCTACTGGGGCAAGGGAAAGGGAGGGGGGGGGCTCCGGTGGCGTGGGTTCGGGTGGCGTGGGGGGGAGAGGAGGGGTTCGGTCCGCCGTCCCGTCTGTGGACAAGGGGATTGGGGGAAGAGGGGGGAGGGGGTGTTCTGGTGGCCGGGGTGGCTGTGCCGGGGTAGGGGGGAGGGAGGGGGGGTCCGGTGGCGCGGGTTCTGGTGGCGGGGGGGGGTCCGGTCCCCCGTCCCGCCTGTGGACAGGAAGAGTTGGGGGAAGAGGGGGGGGGGTCTGGTGGCGTGGGTTCCAATGGCGTGGGGCAGGGGAAGGGGGGGGCGTGTGGGTTTGAAGGAGCCTCAGCTACAGCCTCGAAGCTGAGCTTCAATCTCGGGGGGTTGCTGGGGTGGCTCTGCGGGGAAGGAAGGGAGCGGGGGGTGCGCGTGCGTGCGCGGGGGAACGTTTGTCCGTGTGCGCGAGAAGGGAATCGGGGAAAGAGGGAGCGAGAAGTGGAACGGGACAAGGTGGCGGTGAACTGCGTGTCTGTTCTGTGTGGTGTGTGTGTGTGTGTGTGCGTTTGTGTTTGTGCGGTGTGCGTGGGGTGTGTGTGTATGTGTGTGTTGCCGGCGTGTGCGTGCGCATGTGCCTGTGAAGGTGGCGCGCGTGTCAGTGTGGTGTGTGTGTGTGCGTGTGTAGTGTGTGTAGTGTGTGTAGTGTGTGTAGTGTGTGTAGTGTGTGTAGTGTGTTAGTATTAGTGTTAGTGTTAGTGCTAATGCTAATGTTAGTGTTAGTATTAGTGTCAGTGTCAGTGTCAGTGTTAGTGTTAGTGTTAGTGTGTGTGTGTGTGCGTTCGTGCGTGCGTGCGTGCGTGCGTGCGTGCGTGCGCGCGCGTGTGTGTGTGTGTGTTTGCGTGTGTGTGTGTGTGTGCGTGTGTGCGCGTAATGTCTGCGAGCGTGTGCGTGCGTGTCTGTCGGCGAAGTGTCGCCGCCCAGTCTGGGGGGCACCCCGAGCGACCCGGATCGGCGGCACTGGCCGAAGGCCACTACAATAACGGGTCCAATGGAGGCGTCGGCGTCATGTTACCCTGGGAGGAAGCCGGGGGAAACCCCCCTTCCCAAGGGGAGGGGGAGACTGAACGACTCCTCGCCTCTCGCGCGGCTGCCACCGCTGAGGGGCTCGGCCTTCCCAGGGATTCCTGTTCCTACGGATGCCTAGGGTCCCTAGGATCCCCGAGGGAATCCATGGGGTAAACTGCTTCTCTTCGGATTCATCTGGACTGTAAAAACTCGTCACGAATATTCAGGATTCCCTCGGGAATCCTTGGGATGCCCTGGGATTCCCTAGGATTCCCGATGGGTGCAAACATATGTATGCATACACATTCACAAACAAATGCAGACAAGTCGATGTATATGTGTACATGCATGCACGCTCCTGTTTTGATATGCGCAAATCAACGTTCTGTGTACATATGTTTACATTCACACACACACATACGTGTATCTAGATATATACATACATACATACATACATACAGACAGACAGACAGACAGACAGACAGACAGACAGACAGACAGACAGACATATATGTGTGTTTGCAGCACATCTACATACACACAGACAGGTATCAATTGTAGACTCCCCAGCTATTTAGTGGTTCTTCCTTCTGCTTCAAGGAACTGCGCCAGCGTTGGATTCTCCATCGACCCCCCCTGGCATTATCCGTACCCCTTTCGGGTATGCAAATCAAATATGAATCTGACCACATGTCCATCAGAAATATGAATTTACACTATCCCCGGGGGGGCGGTATCGACCCCCCTGAGGTTCCCTTTGTAAAACAAAACAATACGCGGGGACATTTTTTGTTCTAACATAATACTTGTTCAAGAATCCCTTGCAAAACATATGACGACATGCACACACGCGCGCGCCGTCGCGCGTGCATGCCGAAATCCTCCAAAAACCTTCGGTGTCGGAAGGATTTCGCAATCGAGTTTCAAAAAAAACAAACAAAAACAATGGGTTTCGCAACACTGATTTGCTAAAAAAGCTTCCGCGCAAACTTTTGCGCAATCTTAACCAAACAATCGTTTTTTTTTCTCCAGATTTTCACAAAATGCTATCAAACGGGCTTCGCGCGCGCATGTCGAAAAATCAGTCGAACGCCCTTGCGCATGTGCCGTCGCGAGAACCCTCTGCGAAAAACAGAACGAAGTGCAGACGCGTGCGTCGTCGCGCGCGTACGCCGAAAACCTTCGAAACCCATCGGCTTCGGAAGGATTTCAACATCGTGTGTCCATAAAACC